GGAACATAACAGGTCTACCCATTAACTCATTAAGGACCCGAAACGCATTAAGACTAAACACTAACCTGTTATTTTCGTGTCATGTCCATAATTGTTAGATCTATTTAAATTAATTAACTAAAAACTTGAACAATAATTAACTAAAGCAATGGATTAAAATAACAAAGACAAGAGAATTTGAGAATACCTAAGAAAGGAAGGATATCTCACATTCCCTTGCAATAGTTAAAAATCGTAATGAAAATTATGTTACACTAGTATTTGCCCCCGTGCGATGCACGGAATGGATTTGTTAAAATATTTTAAGAATATTTGGATCGATATATAAGTATATAAATTATTATATCGAATATAATATAATGCAATTGATGAATTGAGTTGGATCGATTGTATTTTCTAATGTTATCATTATTTGAATTCGATCAAATAATTGTCCAAAATTAATATTTAATGTGTAGATGTACGCATTAAATGCTGAAACTTTAGATATTTTTAATATCAATGTTCAGTAAATTATATATGGGGATCATATTTAATTTTGAGTGACTTATTAATATTCATTACCTTTTTCAATTGGTCTAATTTGTTTTCCATCTTTAAGCAAAATCATCCTTACACATTCTATACATAATTTTACATCTTTATATATGTGTATTGTAATGAGGTCCTATAATTTTGAATAAAGATGTGCTACAAAATCAGTCACAATTAATTTCTTTTGAATCATTCATACGTATTGCAAGAACATTTCCATCTTTAATTACACAATTTTCCTTATAAATTGGGGATACTAAAAGATTCTATTCAATTTTTCATTTGTAAATATATATCTTTACACAACTATATTTCCAGTAACATATATACACACATTTTTTTTTTAATATTTCCAGTAACTTTACATTTTATATAATATATAACCGAGATTAATATTTTTTCCAGCTCGACTAAACTTTTTTTTTTTTGACATACTCGGCTAAACCTTATAATTACACAATCCTTATATTCTTAGTATAAAATAACATTTGGTGTAAAAATTATTAATTTCCATATCGATTAATATTCTTTCTATCTCGGCTAAACTTTATATTTCAATCTCGTATTGCAAAACATTTTCCATCTTTAATTACTAAATTTCCTTATAAATTGTGGATAATAAATGATTCTATTTCATTTTCAATTTTTAAATATATATATATATATATATATATATATATATATATTACATAACTATATTTCAGTAACATATATATAACAGATTTTTTTTTATATTTCCAGTAACTTTATATTTTATAAAATATATAACCGAGATTAATATTCTTCTCTATATACTGAGTCAGTTTGGAAGTATTTTTCATTTTCAGTCAATTATTAATAGTCATTTCCTATTTCAATTGGCCTAAATTTTGTGTCATTTTTATTCTCAGTCAATTATTCTTTTTACTACATATTAATTAATTAGTTAATTATTAATAACAATTTTTTTTTTTTCACTAACTTTACATTTTATATTTGATACTTTTTGTATAATAATTTAGAAAAGCTAGTATTTGCCCCCGTGCGATGCACGAGAAATATGTTGTAAAAATAGATGTTTATTTATTTCAAGATTAGCTCGAAAAACGAAGTGGGAACAATATATTTGGCACCGTACGATGCACGCCATAAAATTTAAATAACTTTATTGTTGATAATATTTTTAAAAAGATATAATACCAAAACTCCTTTGCAACCATTTAATGAAATTGGATGTTGTTTAAGAAATTAAAGTTTCTTATATATAAAAACATCAATGATTATTATTTGGTATTTAAATGATATACAAAATAAAATTTTTAAGAACAAAGCTTATTTAAGGGGAAAGCTCCAGATGCATGTTTTGGTAACCTTCATTAGTTGACTTTTATCTACTTACTTCGTGATTACCATCTAATTGTTGATTGTTGTAGATCTATGGTTGTTCCTTTCTTCTATTCTTTACCAAATATTTTGTCTAAATCTGTTTTTTACAGATTGCATAGGAATTCAACAGTTAAACACTGCACATTCGTCACAATAAAGATAAGGGTTGTGGCTTAGTATAACTCTAGTTTTTACAGTCCCTTATTTTCCTTAAAATATTTCAAACTAATTTAATTTGTCAGATATTGATTGTATTCTTTTATTAATTAGAACAGAATATTGAATCGCATGTCATGTCTAAACTGTTATTTAACCTTTGTTGGATTTATATTGTTGAAGAAACAGGTTCATGAAGAAAATAAAATTTGATTAGAAAGAAAGGTTAAAGCTATGACCACATACCTTTGTTAGATGTTTTGTACTTCCTTTTTCATCCCAAAACTGTTAATGAAAATAATTGTACTTCAATTTTTCTTGAGCCACTTTTTTTTTTTTTAACATAATAAGTTTATATTAGTGGTATTTATCTTTGTTTCTTGATTTTGAGTTTTAAGTATAGTCTTTATGTTTTCAAAGTATATTGCGTTATTTCATTGATAAAGATGTTTCTTCTGAGCAAATTGTTTTTTATTACATAATAAGTTTTGTTAAATTTCATTTGTTTCTTGATTTTGAGTTTTAAGCAGAAAAAATTGTTCAATTTGGGACTTAAGTTAAAATTTGTGTACCTTTTTTTCAACTATTCATGCGTATGGACCATTTTTTTTTCTTCTGTATACTACATTGAAAATAAAGAGGAAAATTTTAATCTCAACTATGCTTGCATATGAATGTAACTCCTTATTTCCTGAACAGTTACTATGATAATAGTGGTGATACCTTGGCTTCAGCTAAAACTGAACTTCCTAATTTTCATCACGACTATTCAACCTCAGATCCTTTAAGGTCTGCAACATATGCTCAGGTTTCATTTTTTGCGCAACACATTGCGTCACCCACATCATATTCATATGTTGCTGCTTTAGACTTTTGTCAAGGAGCACCACTCCGGCCTGGTTCTCAACACATTGTCAGGGCTCCAAATCCTTGTTTTACTCCTATTGGTGCTGGAAGGGCCATCACATCAGAAAAAAGAAATATTAAGGGATCGTTTACTTCTTTTCTCTGTTTTTCCATTTTCAATTTTTCATTTTTTCATTTCTCCCGTTTTCCTTCCCCATTCTTTCAGTTTTCCATTTCTCCAATTTTCCAATTTTCATTCCCCATTCATCTAGTTCTTCATTTCTCTAATTTTATGATTTTATTAAATACAATCATCCCATATAGCATTTTTACATTTCTACAACAAAGATAATAATAATAATAATAATAATAATAATAATAATAATAATAATAATAATAATAATAATAATAATAATAATAATAATAATAATGGCGCAAAGCAAACAAAAAATGAAGCAATGGCAAAACTGAAGCAGTAAACAAAAAGTGAAGCAAAGGCAAAACTAAATCAAACGCGCAGGCCGACGACCTCTTGGCCAAGAGTACTGGTCATGCGTGTATGTCCATCCCTCCATTTGGAGAAGTTTAAATTTTCTTTCTTCAAAAATGTACATGAAGTGAAAAATGGAGAAGGAATAAGCATTTGGAAGAAGATATTTAGTAAACAATTTCTCCAATTTTTATTTTTTCCACTTCTCAATTTCTCCATTTTTTCAAGTTGGTAAATGACCCCTAATAGTCCAAATTCATTCAATGGTGTCCCCTCTCATGCAAATGAACCTGCAGATCTGGTTGCTCAAATTCCACTAATAATCAGATGGTCAGTTTTTTTTTCTATCACTATGAATAGTGCATTATTTAATCTTGCACAAAGTGTACTAATAAATAACTTTTAATGGGTTGAGCAAACTCGTCCAGATTGATGATGAAGAAGGTGAAGTGAGAAGTGCATTACCTGCCCTCAAGCACAAACCTTATGCACAAAAGGTTGATGGTACTGAAAATCAGGAGGTAAACATATATGTTTTGGACTATTTTCATCAAAATTATTATAAACATGTATGTTATAAACTATTTCTGTATGTCATATAATTTTTCGGGTCTTAAAAAACAGTAAAAATTGAAAGAAACAATATTAAACTCAATATTTATGTTTAACTAACTTACCCCTGGATTAGCTTATACATATGATCAATATATTCATAGTTTATATAATATATGTAGATAGAATTTAAATTTCACCAATGGTATAATTTTATATTCTTTATAAAAAAAAAAAAAAAAAAAGTCGAAAAAGGATACAGAGATTTACCAAATGTGCAGGTGTGGTGTAACGGCTCTTCTGGATATGAAAGCTTCGGCGGCCACACCTCACGCAAAGAATATGGGTCTTGTTCCTCCTCTTCTCGAAGCTCCATGTTCTCTACACCATTGCTATGCAGTTGCAAAGAATATTCCATTTCGTTCTTTGTAACTTGGTATTGTTTGTATTGAAGAAAATGTGATGTATATATATAGGTGTTTAGATATGAGTAAGGTAACAGTTATGATTTTTATTATATTATTACTAATTACCAATTACCAATACCAATTAAAATTAGGGTTTCATTTTAAATTTGCTTACCAAATAAGTTTCCTTTTAATTATATATTATATGTTATAGATTATTTATATTATATATAGATAGATTACTTATTGGTCTTCTGAAATATGGTATTGCTGTATTGCTTGGCATATCCTAATTAATAAATTTCAATAGTCATTTAGTGATATTCCTTAAATTCTCACATCATTCCTTATTATTCACACGGAATTAGACCCACAAAATATTCCTTAATCTTGTATAATTAATCTTGTATATAATTTCTTTAATTAATTAAATTTATATATTACACAAATGTCCCTAAGTTTTGGGGGGAAAATTTGTGAAGGAGGATTTTACTTATATATATATATATAGATATAGATAGATATAGATATAGATATAGATTCCTAAGAGAAATTGCATAACTTGAACTAAACATTATAATCTTATATTCACATACAAATATAACTTTGATTATCTTATATAACTTGAATTACACGCCCGCTAAATGTACTTTAGGATAACTTTGCATCGACTAATATACATGATCAGTTTTTATTCTTGAGAAAATTGAGAGGTCAAAGTTGAAGAAAATACATTTAGAAATACCCAAAACAAGGACAGCCATTTATATAAGGAAATAGGATAAATAGATAGGGACTTTGTATTAGTGTGAAACATATATACTATAGTTTTTAATTTCCAAAAGCAAGCACTCGGAATATTGAAATTTTGCATCGCTAGTGCTTAACCACCACAGCAGGAGCCACAAGCAGGGAGAGAGCCTGCATTGTTTCCATAACAATTGGAATTTAAACAAAACAACAACATTACAACAACAAAAGGAGCTTCAAGACAGAGAGAGAACTTACTATGGTCAATGCCTCTAACATTATCTAATCCACGTGGCCGTCCACCTGGACCACCACCATAGGGACCACTTCCAGGACCTCCAGGGCCACCACCATCCCACTTCTTGCTAGACCCAGTCCCCTTCCGATAAGCATCAGACTTTTCCATCTGCAAGGTAGAGAAAACTTGAATATAAGATATGAAAAGTAAATGAAATTTAACCAACAAGAAAACAAAATCAGTATTACCGAAAACAAAGTAGCAAAAAACACGCCTATAAAGTTGATGATTGCCCAAAAGAAATCAGTGATTGTTTTCAAACGCCATATTGACCGCTTGGATTTGACAACACCTGCAAAATAAATTTATTTACAAGAAAATTGATATGTAATCTACTGAAGATTGAATGTATAACAATATAACATATACAAAAGAATCTATGTATACATCTATCTATCTATACATCACCTTTCATTCCAGTTCCCTCTACCATCACCCAACCCCCTTCTTCCCTTTCCCCTTTTCCTTGTACTATGTTTTGAAATAAATTTGAGCACAAGATGTTTGATACCACTGAAAACCCAAAAAGCCAAACAGTCCAACTTAGGTGAACTAAATACTTGTTTGACATCCTTCCAAACTCTGTTAGTAGTTAATAAGTTAATTCAGTGAAAGTTTAACCTATCCAAATTTCTATAAAACTAATTGGTACCGTCAGCCTGTCAGGGGAAGCAAGAGAGATACCATAACACAACTCAAAATTCTACAAGGACAAACTTGTCAATGAAATCAGTTCATATTAATATTCGATATGAAGTAAAGAAATTCAGTTTAGAAAATATGCACGACTGCACTACCTGTGGGAACATTACACATCTACTATCCAGAATAATCATAATTTAAAGGCACAAGTGTCAAATAGGCCCATCTACTACTCCGAAGTGCTCAATTCCCCCCATCTACTAAAACATAAGCTAATCAGACACACTTACCTCCAAAAATTTGTCAATTAACTTTTTTTTGCAGGTTACCTCCGGTGGAGTCTGACTTGGCCCGGTCACTGATTATGTGGCAATGATGACATGGCAATTATATAACAAAATTTGATGACATTGCAATTAAATTAAATAATAAAATTAAACCATCCTAAAAATGAAATTCTAAACCCTAAATTGTTAATTCCTAATCAGTGAGATGCGAAAATTGAGCACAACGTCAATTGTTAATTCCTAATCAGTGAGATGCGAAATTGAGCACAGCTTCAATAAAACCTTCAACGGCTGAGAATCCGACGGTGAAGACTTCGACAGTGTGCCTAAATACTACAAGCAAAACTTTTGTTGGCAATTTTAGAAGTGAGGCTCAGATGATTCTTGGAATTCTTCATAGAGGTGATCCCCAGTTTGATGCAAAAGCAGCTTTAGATGATTTGCATGTTAGGCTTACTGGCCTTCTAGTGAGGGAAGTTCTCTTAGGGATATTGAAAACAGCAAATTATGCAGATAAGAAAAGTTGTGCCCAGATGGGGTCCTTGTTCTTTGAATGGTCTGGTAACCAGGAAAACTATATGCACACTGCAAATTCATACCATTTAATGATGAGAATTTTGTCTGAGGCAGGGGAATTCAAGGCCGTGTGGGCACTAGTAGATGAGATGATCGAGAAAGGTTACCCAACAACTGCTCGTACTTTCAACATATTGAACGCAGGTTATTTGGAGATTTAGGAACTGGAGATGTGCGAATATATGAACGCAGGGTATTATGAAGAATATGTTTGAATATCGGAGATTCGGAACAGCTTGGACTAGGGTTGTCGATGGAGATTTAAGAACTAAATTCCACATCAGCATTAGTTTTATTTAAATAAAATTACATGTCAACAGTTTGGAGGGACAACCTGGAGGTAACCTGCAAAAAAAGTTAATTGACAAATTTTTGGAGGTAAGTGTGTCTGATTAACTTATGTTTTAGTAGATGGGGGGAATTGAGCACTTCGGAGTAGTAGATGGGCCTATTTGACAGTTGTGCCTAATTTAAATTCAAACATCTTACATTCCCAATACATTATTCTAACTTCCCAATCATAAAGGAAATGTTGTATTTACCTCCAGATCAATAGCCAAAAGGCCCAAAACCCATCCCTCAAGTCACAAAAAAAAGCCCAAGAAAATCCCATCGTTTACATGGCTCAAGAAGACCCATTTCTCAACTATAGAACACTTGATGAAGTCAAAGAAAGGACACTTTGTATTTGAGTCCTAGTAGCTAAGATTTTAAGAACTTAACTTTGGCAACTTTTGCCGGATAAGGAAAGACCCAACTAGGACAAGAATTGAATTATCTCTTTCTCTTAGCAATTTGTTTTGCCTCTTAACACTTTGCTTTTAGCTTTCAAAATATTTTATAAAAACACGGCTCTCTTCAATTAAAGAAATACCAAATAGGTCCCACCTTCTTACCCACTATTCACACAGACACACACGTAGGGAGATAAATGCTTAAGCTTGGGTGAGGATTGAAGTAAAAAAATTTCCTGCTGAACTTGTGTCTGCACTATTTATTCTTTGATAGATACATAAGGATTTTTCATTAGAAGGGAATCATAGAGTGCCAACAGTATAAAGGCATGCATTAATACTTTAGTAAAACAACCATTAATTAACATTGATCATCCAGTATGTTTCAGTTTTAGAAAAGCATGAACTGCTTATATTTCTTGGTTGAGTAACCAGGTTCTACTAGGGTTAACCATTAAATTCAATTTTAATATGCTGAAATTTGTTTCGGTGTCTGCAATGTGTAATTGGTATTAGAGAGGGATAAGTTCCAAACACGCGCTCATATCCAGGTCTTACTCATAACTCTTAAGATATACTAGCACAAAAAATGCTATATGCCTTACATCTTTGTAGAAATACTTCAAGTACAAAGAAACATACCATAAATTGAAATTATAATAAATTTAAACTCTTTGCATAAGATACCGGTCATCTTTGCCAAGGTGGAAAGCCATGTAACACATTAGCAAAAGAATATAATAAAGGAACAAGGTAGAAAGAATCAAAGAATAGATAAAGTTCCCAAGAAGCCCAAGCTATAAAGACTTTTAACTGATTATTTTTTTGGGTACGTATAACTTTAATTGAATATAAGTATATTGTAGTTCCCCCCAAGTTTATAACTGACTGACAAAAACAGATAAGAAAAAGTTAATCTTGCAATTGTAAATGCTAATAAATATTCAAATCTAATAGACTCGGACATCTAGCTTCTTTTCAACAAAGTAACATAGCCTATCTTCTATTCCCAGCCATCCCTCCAATATATCTCCTTAGCACCAGCTATTGCTAAAGTGAAAAGCAGTTCCATAATTTTCTTAGATCTGCTAAGTGTATTGCACCATCTACTGATAGAGTGATAGATATCTAACCAAAAAAAATCACATAGCTTTATGTTCTTAACCTTTTCCATGGATAGGTCCCTAACAAAATGATTTGCACTAGTGAAGATGTCCAAGACATGCCATTCCTACTAGTAATGTGTCCAGGACATGCATTAAAAATAAAAATTTAAGGACATGAAGGATGGGCAAGATGGCATGCTGGACAAGTCTAATCACATTTAATAGAGATATGCCAGCCAATCCTTCCTAGTACCAAGTAAGAAATTGCAATTAGTCAATAATCAAATACTCTATAGAGAGACTAAGGGCCTGTTCTTCAGCTCATGGAAAATTTTCCAAATTTTTGGAAAAAATAAATAAATATGGAAAAATGATTGCATTCAAGTTGAAGTATTTTCTAAACTTGAAATGGAAAAATGGAGGACATCAACTTCGAGGGAGAGAGAGAGAGAGAGAGAGGTGAAAATTTGGTGAGAGAAGAGCCAGGAAAAGCCAATTTAACTACTCTTGAGGGGGAACAGAAGAGGCAGAATGGAGAAACTGTATTTCGTTACAAAGTTCACAAATGGCAGAATGGAAAAGGTTCTTCTGCTTCCCCTTGCCACTCAAGAATTGGCATGAGAGGCCCCTCTTCAGTGTCAAACCTCAAGCATGGAAGACCCTCTTCCAGGTCACTAATTCACTATTCATTTCATCTGTGTATTCGATGGAAAATGAAACCTAAGAAAATATTGGAACCCCCCCCCCCCCCCCCCGCCCCACAACACCCATCCCCATAGAATAACTCACCAGAATTCCCCTAGTTTATTGAGAAAAATTATACACGTTACTAGTGAAGGATCAGAAATTCTGGTTAATGCACCTAACACCAAAATATTTTAGATCACAATTATCCATCCTAAAAGGTAAATCCAGCCTCCAGAAAGATACATAAACTATCAAGAAAATACCGCTGCGGTTCATGGATTTACAAAACCGTAGTCAAGGTATCAAGAAAATACAGCTGTGATTCATGGAGTTGCGAAACCATAATGAAAGTATCAAGAAAAAAACAAGGCATCGAACAAATTTAATAACAAATAACAAATTTAATTAGGAAAAAGGATATATGATGACCTACTAATAACCTAGCACGAGATTTCTCAAATTTTCCATTGTTGCAATTACAACGGTAGGAAATAAATCTTAACATTAATTCTGCATTTTCCCTAACAACAATCATAAGCAAAACAATAATAAATAATAAAGATAAAACTTAATTCGAGTCGAACAATTTTCAAGATATTATCTAAAATAGATCACCAATTTATCTATTCCACGTAACATTTCGAAATTTGATTTTAAAAAAGAAAACTATGAAAAGAGAAACTGATTAGTGAAAAAAATGAATTGATGAGATTGTTACCTCTCTCGACGTAAGCCATTGGAAGCTCAGAGCTCCTTCACAATCCAGGATCTTCGTCTGCTCTTCTCGACGCGTTGTTGCGCGACTTGACTCGACAATAAGAAGAGTCCGGCTATGATCAAGTACAATGCGATACAGAGAGTAAAAGTGTTCTGCTCGCTTAAGTGTGGCCACGTGCCCATATCTCGATCTTCATTGTTCAATATGAGCATTGACCAATGTCAAATGTTTTCTTGTTTTCTTTTAATAAGTTTTACGTCATATTGCGTTGTCTCTACCAATAGGAAGTCGCCGGGTCAATTGGAATGATTTGGTCTTGTAAAAAGCTTTTTTGAAGTCTCTCCTCATTTTTATTCAAAATTAAAATAGAAATCTCAAAAATGGCATTGTGTAAGGCTATCTGAATTAATGCAATACCCTTTCAATTTTGATAGTGAGTCATAAAATTAGGCAAAAACTTATATGTGAGATTATCTTACAATTTTTGTTTGTGAGACGGGTTGGATCAAAATGAAACTGTAATATTTATAATAAATAATATAATACTAGTCAAAATAAAGTGTTTATTATTTAAATGATAAAATATAATATTTTTACATTTTAATTTAAAAGTATTATATTTTTTCTCATAATTATTACATTTTTTTTTATAAGTAACAAACATTTATCAACATTACTTATAGGAAGATGTGTATTATTTTTGATAACAAAAATATAATACTTTTACATTAAAATGTAAAAGTATTACATTTTTCCTCAAAACAGAGTAACAAACATTTTATTCTGATTAGTATTACATTTAGATGTCTACCCATTTGTAATATTTGGCATGTTTTGCTTATTCGCAAGGAAAATGTTGGAAGGAACAAAATTTTATACTCCCTTAACTATACTCCATGAGGTGGCATAACTTCAACCAATACTTTGAAGGAAAATGCTATATGTACTCCCATTTTGTACTTCTACACACAAAATCTTGATGTAGACACTCGTATTGAAACCCACATTAAAAAAAAAAAAAAAAAAAAAAAAAAAAAAAAAAAAAAAAAAAAAAAAAAAAAACTTATCAAAATCCATCACATCAGTAAGTAAAATTTAGGGAGTACATGTAGTAGAACTCTAATTTGAAATCATGGGCCTCACCCTTCTTCATTTTTCTTGTTTTCTTGTGATAACACCAAAAGAAGTATTGGGAGTAAAAATAGGAGTATATGTAGAAGAACTCATTGGAAAATGATTCTGGTATCAAAACAATAATTGCACATGTCGATTACTAGTAATTAATTACTTCACAAGTCATCTCTCTAGCGTAGGTGCTTAGCATTTTTTAATTTGTTTGCTTGAAATAATATAAACTGCATTTAAAAAATAAACTGACAAAGGCCTATACAATTTGAATGAATAGCTATCTTTCGTGTCTGCACAAAACATGGCATCATGTATGAAATGCACTTAGAGCATCCACATTGGTTGGGAAGAATGGGGAGATAATGTAAGGGTGATTAGGAAAGAGAGTGTGGGAGAGGAGAGAAAAAAAAAACAAAAAAAAACAAAAAAAAACAAAAACAAAAAAAAAATTAAAAAAAACAAAAAAAAGTAATCAGACGCGTCAGGCGCGCCGACTGGCGCGCCTGACGCGCCTCCGGGCGCGTGCAGTGCACGCGCCCGGCTTTTGCCCAAGGCTGTGCGCGAACGCGCACAGCCTTACTTCTTCTTTCTCTTTTTTTTTTTTTTTTTTTTTTTTCTAACAATATCCTCACATTTGCAGGAGGATTCTTTTTTAATTATCTCCCCTCCACACTAGTTATTATCTCATGTAGGGAAGAATTAATGCTGAAATCTCCCCACAATATACACAAGTGTGGATGCTCTTAAAAAGCCCGAACTGAACCAGTAACTATGTGCAAATTGTCACAAAAATAATGCTCTCCCCCATCACATTCATATCCTTTTCAGTAGAATAACTCCCAGAAAATATAATTCTATTAACTTGAAAAAAATAGGACTAGGAATTTTATTACAAATGTAGAAAGTGCACCTAGGAAATACACTGATATTTGCACAGCCCTCAAGCAATAGAATTGGAAATAACATAAACACATATGTAGCTGTTGTGCACAAACTGCATTGGCCTCTTAGTTGAATCATGCATACATGGCTGCTCTGATAATAGTCAAGTCCATCAATGGACCAGTCTTTCAAATATGGAAGGATAGTAAATAGTAATTCATCTCTGACACTTGTCACCTGTTCATTAGGTGCACTTGTTCACATTGGAGACCAGATCGAGGTAAATTCTCCATTTCTGGTATTATGAAAAGACTGAACTTCAGGTATACTTTCTTTAAATTCTTCTAGTTAAACTAAACAATAAAGAAGCACAGTTGCATTCAACAAACTGACATCAAAATTTGACAAATACGTAAAATCTATGTTGAGGAAACAGTGTGGTTAACAACGGTATGTGATGCACATACAAAAAGCACACACTTTGGCACTTGTTTATTGTTCATTTTGGACTCGTTTTAGAGTATAGTGTTTAAACTCCTTACTATTGGTTTGAATCACAGCCTTTTGTTTGCTTTGAATTGGTTTTATGCATTAGCTGGCATGTTAATTTGGACAATCTCGAGATGAAAGGATAATGCAAGGATACCCCTACAGTGACTCCTGAAGCTTAAAGTTGGAGCAATTGCACTCAGGCATTGCCCAACGTGTCAAGCTACACTCCAGCACATCAAGAAACTTCAGAGGGAGGTATTCAAGAAGCATTTCAGTAGACTTTTTTAGCCTACGCGGAAATTGCACTCAAAGCCCTCCTTTCTCCATCTATTTAAGCATTATGTTCTCTAACACTAAGGGGAAATCTCAGGAGCTAGAGAGAAAAATCAAAGGGAGTGTACAACACTAAGGGGAGATCTCAGGAGCTAGAGAGAGAAATCAAGGGAGTGTACAACCCTTAGAGAGAAGAAGGAATCTTTCTTTCTTGAGGCCAAAGTTCTCGCCAAAACTGCAAGCCAAGGGAAGGAAGGGTGCAAGGCTAATCCAAACTCAAAGAAAGGCTTGAGCCTTTTCTAGAGTTTTCTCTTTCCTTCCTCTTTTCATCATTTATTCCTTCAAATTATTTGTGTTTCTATTTCTAAAGACATGGGTGGCTATATCTATTTTGGGATTAGGGTTTAACTTGCCTAGTCATATGCATGAATGTTATGTTTTGTTGCAATGGAAGTTGAACATAATTCAAGAACATTCATGAATGCACCTAATTTGTCTATCACAGTAGGTAGAGAAATTAGGGAGGTTTTGTGGATTGCTTGAGCTCTATTTGGTTTGTGTGCATTGGAGACTGTGGAAGTAAGATTACTTGTACAACTATGTATTTGGGTGACTATGAAAATGGCCTCAAACACCATACTGTAATCCCCCACTATAAAACCAAATCACATTTCTAGTTTTCTACCATAGAATAGGCACTTGGCAAACAGGCAACTAATGAACTAATTCTAAGTCCCAATCATTCCCTCTCTTATTTTCACTCACTTTTTATTTGCATGCAAGTAGATTATCAAGATTACTTTAGTGCTTAACTCTAACAACCAATATAATCCCATAAATCCACATTACTTTGGGTTTGATTGGCTAAACCTTTAAAAACCCAATACTGCAGTTGTTGGATTTGATCCCCCTAAAATCCACTAGACTTGCAACTTGTGCGTTTAAGTGATTGGAAATTACTTGGTAGTTGGGTGAGCTGTAAAACCTTTCGAGTGCTTGTAGGTTTAGCCAAGAAAACCTACAAAGTGTTGTAAAGGTATCCCACAAACAAGGGTTGTTCATTGGAAGGTCAAGTGATGACCAAACCTTTGCTCAAAGAGCAAAAGGAGATAGTAGATTGTAAGAATGCCTAAAGGAGTCCTTGGGCAGTGGATTAGGCAATTGCCGTACCACTCTAAATCTTGTGTCTATTTATTCTTCTCTATTTACTTTACCATTGTATTTGCAAACATCTAGACACAACCTCACTACAAATTTATATTCTTGTTTATTGCGATTATTAAGGATTGAATTGTTTGAAAAGGCCCATAGTTACATACATCCTAAGTTACCCCCCTCTTATGATATATTTGAAATAACAGTAATAATCAAGCGGCAATTCATATTTCAAACAAGCTTATATTTGCCGTAACCATACAGAATAATTTAAAACTCGCTTTTTGGAACTTTGCCACTGAGCATAGACCTAGATAAGCCCTAAATCTCTGTGTGTGTGACTGTGTTTGTGCATTCAAGCTCTTAAATGATAAATTTCCCATAAGCTACTGATGAGCATTCACCAAATAAACCAGTCCAATGAGAAAACAGATATAACAGAATTAGAGCTTAAATTTTTAGAAAATGAGAACATTAAACCTTAGACATCATCTGACCTCCCATTCTCCACTATCGGCTCCAGAAGTCACTTGTAATCCGGCTTTTCTCTGTTACACTCATTGCCCACCTTTCCATATCCTCCTTCACTTCCCATATCTTGCTCTCCCTTTCCCAATTCCATATCTTTCTGAAATTTGATAATGTACCAGTTTCACTGTTTATGTTCACAAGTGCTTGCTAAAACACCCAAAAAGGAAGGAAAATAGTTAAAAAGTGTAAAGCAAAGTTCATTCAGATACTCAGATAGTAAATTCAGTTTATAAATAAACATGCCTTGCAAACATTTTTAGATTTATCAATGGCATCCAATCTTAGCGTTTTTGCTATCCTTACACAATTGATTCAAAGCTGGGGATAAACTGACTAGAATTTAGTAATATAAAGAAATAGAAGTAAGGGTTCCCCTTTTGCAATTCCATCAAGTCATGTCAGATATAACTCCCTCATTTTGCTAGTTGTTTTTTTGGGTCATAACCTGTTTGGTCAATTTTAATTTAACTATAATCACTAATCAAATTCGAAAAATAATAAATAAATAAAGATTAACAATGGTGTCTTGGAACATTATGCTAACCCTTAAAATAAAGAACAGTTTTTACTGCTATCTGTTTGTACCAATAGTTCCTATGGATCACATTTTTCCCATACAAGTTCATACAATAAAACAGAACTTCCTTTGACCCAACTTATTGGCCACTACACTGATTTCTTAGATAATTTCACCAAAACTTGACTTCACCTTTGATGTTGAAACATTTATATATATTAATAAACAAATAAAAATTGGAACAGTTAAAATATCAAAAGTTCAAAAGAAATTCAATTTTTTTGTAAAAATGGGATGGAGGGGTAATTAAATTGTCATCAAGTTGGCATATACCATGATAAGAACGTTAAACAGTCTTTGAGCACAAAATCATCATGCAGCATAAGTTTCACATAGGTTCACACTAAACATATGAACTTTATCTACTGTAAACAACATAGCAAACAGAGAGTCCGTAGAAATATGTTAGCAGGATAAGAAAGTAATTTTGAATTTACCACTTTATGAGAAGGCAGGGGAACAACAAATGCTTCTGAATAATCATGACTTTCAGAATTCAATTCTAGGGATTGCTTCACAACCATAAGGGCTAGCTTAACATCAAGAAATCCAACTTCCACCATCCTTCTTACAACTCTAGCCTGGAAGATCTTTCCCCTTAAGATGGTGGAAAACAATCTATTAGGTTATGTACAGCCGATGAATATGCAGATATGTATCAAATATAACTCTAGAAGATAATTGAAAAGAGAGAAGACAGAGAGCTCAAAACCCGCTAGAATCCCTGAATGGGGAACGAATCTCAGGTCCTGGTATCATTGCTGCAAGCATAGCACATTCACCCAAGCTAAGAATGGATATATGCTTCCCGAAGTAAAAATTTGATGCAGACTGAACACCATAAATGCCATGTCCCCAGTATATCTGCAATTTACCATGATCCCAATTAGACTGGAAAGAGATATCCCAAAAGGAAGCTCTGGTCCTGAAATGCCTAATAAATTTAGTCAACTCTGATAAGTTAAGATAGAGCAGAAGGCTTTACTACAAAGAGAAAAGTTACAATTAAGGAAAGAAGTAGAGTTGCAACTCCTGTGCTTTATGTACAAGAAACACTGTGATTTGTCAAATTCAATATCAACAACCCAGATAGTGATGCAAACTATAATACTAATATGCAGTACAGTGTGTGCAAACCCACATAATAGAAAATAATTCTTAAGTGCACAAAATGCAAAGCATGGAATAATACACGAACACACACCTCTCTATCTTCTTTTCTTTCTTCTTTATTTTATTTTATTTTTATTTTAATTACCTGAAACATTTATATCTAGAGATTTCTTCTAAAAAAAATTGTGCCTATCAAAATAGTCTGAAAGATACACCATAATGCTAATCTTATGATGCTTGGAATCTCTACCCTCTATACAAAATGTATATATCTTCGTATGGAATAAAACACAAAGCTATCAAGCTCTGTAGTTCAAAGAGAAACTTGATTCATGGGTCACAGAATTTAGAGAGAAAATCAGTACAAATATGCTTGACCTTACATAAATAAGAGCTCAAGATTGTGAGCTTTGAAATTGTCTTCTCAACTGCCAGAGCCAGCACCATCTCAACAATTTTCCTCAAGAATGTACGTTCATTCCTCAGCAAGGTGTTTCGGACAAGCTGCATTTAGAATATTGGATATTAGGTTACAGAACCAAGGTACTAATTAAAGAAAGTATTCAAGAGTATAATATAAGCATAAAACTGCATTTGAACTGGCATCAATAAATGACAGAGATCCTGTAAGAATTATTTAAAACTGTTTCTGTCATGCATGAATGCTTTTTAACTTGTGAAAGTGTTTTGAATTTGGTCAGAATCAAAAGGTAGAGACTGAAGGATGAATTAGAATATTTGTCTTATTAAAAAAGAAAATTACAACTCTAATAAAACTCGGAAAATAAATTTTAGGGATGATTGAAAATTGAAACAGCAGGCATCATATGTATACATATGTGTGTTTATTTGTGTAAAAATGATAAATTTGATGTATGTCCTTAATTTTCATTTTATTGATTGGTAAGAGACAAAATAGTTGTATGATTAGAATTATCAAAGGAATAACAGGAACAGGAAAAAACAGCAAGAAATTTTTAAAAATAGTTCAACACAAAACTAAGGACATAAATAAATAAAGATAGAAAGCATATGTTGGTTCTAGCAAATTACCTTTAAATCTGGGAAGAAAGCAGATGATAAAATTAATGTAGTTAGAATCAAAGAATTGAATAATATTGAGTCTGCACCAAATGTTGCGTCAAGTAAATGATCAATTTTATGCATATTACTAGCATTGACCACTATCCACCTGCTCTAACTTACTTTGACTCCTGTGACAGTATAACCTTTGTTACAATTATATTTTTACTCAAAATAAGCCAGAAAGCCTGCCCTCCCTGTTCTCATGTTGAAGCCAGAGAACAGAATTAGAGTGTAGTGCCACTATGAATAATTATGTAGTAGATTGCTTCTAATTCATAATTCTTAATCCCCTATATGAATAAGTCATTAGCATATTGAACAAAATTTCAGAAATCAACTTCAAGGATTAGATATCAGTGGACCGCAATTACTGAATAAGTTTATAAAAATATCATTAACATGCAGACAACAAAGATGATGTGCCCGGTTAACCATGGTTTACTTTTATATTTGAAAAATGTATATACATACTTAGTGCTATTATCTCCCGTGACTGTGAAACAGCCTCCCAACCTCCTTGTGATGTAAAAAAATCCATCGATTTATCCCCTTCAGTTTACTCATCTTGAATGCAATTAATTGCTAAAGTGTCATGAAAAATTACTCATTGAAACTGAATTGTCACTATTACACTCTAGAATCCACTGCCACTGACAACCTGCTTAGAGCATCAAGCTTTTTAATACAGTAGCTGTTTTGAGTTTAAAAACTTAGATGATATTATAAAACCTAAAAAACATGGATATCTGCCCAAACCGAGTTTTGGACAAGCATAAATCATAAGGATAAGAATGGTGCAGTGTGTTTCTCTTTGGAGGAAGTTGATTTTAAACAGGAGGAGTTACCAAAAGTCTACACTTGAAATTTGCATTATAGGGTCAACTAGGCATGCAAAATTTCAATCTGACACTATATTGAGCCTGATATTTCTGTGAAGAGATAGACATAAGGGAAGAAAGTGTTTGAGCGGCTTCGTGAGGTTACATATGATAAATCATAACAATATTGTTCATACAATATGAAATTATTTGCTGGAGGTGAAAGATATACTCTCACTGCTATTTGGCATGTTTGCATATGTTATATCAAAGACCATTGAATTCTCTTCCACAATATCTTAATAAAAAATATCCAATGCACATCATCCCACTTGTACAGCTCATATACTTAAGAGTTGTGCATTCTTAAAATATACAACTGATCTTATTATTAAATCATACTAGCCACCCCCAACTGTTTAACAAAAAATTTAACAGTAGATAAATAAAATCCCAATGAGAGTATTCTGGAGAAAGCAAGTCATGGCTTTGTCTATATTTTCCTGAAGATGATTGAGTTGACATCCATTATTTTGCAAAATATGAGTGCCCATCATTCCATTATTCCCTTTTACTCATGGCAAAATCTCCATGAGACCGTCAAATTGGGTTTTTCATAAGTATCACATTTTCCCTCATAAGTAACTCTTGAACCCCTAATATTACATTTTGATTTAAAATTATTACATATTTACATTTTGTATTAAAAGTAGGAATAAGGGTCAAATAGGCCATCGAACCGCACACAATAATGCAATTAGGCCACTGAACTCAAAAAAACTACAATTGAGTCCCAAAACTAACCCATTTCAAGCAATTTGTCCAATTTGCAGGTTTTCCCCCTTTCTAACAGGTCACCCAAATTTAAAATATTTTTTAAAATAATTTTAAACAAATAATTAAATAAAATAAACTAAAATTAAAAAAAAAAACAAAACAAAACAAAACAAAACAAAAAACAAAAAAACAAAAAACAAAAAACAAAAAACAAAAACACATCGTCTCCGACCATAGAGATGAAGGTCCCTTCGTCTCCATGGCCGGAGACGATGTGGTTTTTTTTTCAATTTTAATTTATTTTAATTAATTATTTTTAAAAATTATTTTTAAAAAATATTTTAAATTTGGGTGACCTAATTGGACAAATTGCTTGAAATAGATTAGTTTAGGGACTCAATTGTAGCTTTTTTGAGTTCAGTGGCCTAATTGCATTATCGTGTGCAGTTCAATAGCCTATTTGACCTTTATTCCTTAAAAGTATTACATTTTTCCTCTTAAGTATTACACTTTCTCTCACAAGTCATAAGTAACAATCAATCAATTTATCCATGATTAGTATTACACTTTTTCTCATGAATAATTGTTCAACACTTCAACCGCTAAATATTACTCCCTTCATTCCATTTTATGTGTCTGGTTCGGTTAACGAGGCTTGACTGAAGTTATTTTTAATTTAATTTTTCATAATATTAAGTTTAGCATACAAAATTTATATATTTAAAAACTACACTAAAAGTACTATTAAACACAAAAAATCAAATTTAAAAATAAGTAAAAAATAATAAAGAAAATAAACAAAGAAAAAATAGTTGGTTTGACCAATGAATAGTAAGTAAGACAGATAAAATATGACAGAGGGAATACATTTTGATTTAAAAATATTACATTTTTCTTCAAAAGTATTACACTTTTCCTTATAAATAACAAACAATTTATTCATGATTAGTATTACATTTTCCGACATAAGTATTACATTTCCAGTTTGACCCGACCCGTATCACGGGTATGGTCTAACGGGAAACTCACCCTTTACTCATTTCAACACCACTTTTCACAATTTTTCATGAACAAATATATTAAATTTTAAAATTTAAAATAAAATAAAAATACATGAGTTAAAATTAAAAGTTCACAAAATGATGAGAAGGATCCTACAATTTGATAACAAAAACGAAGATATTAAAGGAATTTGATAATTTATTCATAAAAAAAAAAAAAAAAAAAAAAAAAAAAAAAAAAAGCCAAAGTGAAAAGCTTCTCAAAGTACTTTTCAAAATCAACTTTTTTAGACCAAACAGCTAATGTAAAAAACAATTTACAAGCTAATACATTAGTTATTAAGGGTCCGTTTGGAAAACATGAAAATGACTTCTGGAAATGTTTTCTAGAAAACATTTTCCGTTCCGATGTTTGGCTGCACAGCAGAAAAACTGTCTTTGTGTTTTTAATTCATTTTTCAGAAAATTAGCAGAATTATAAAAATCAACATTTTAATTGTTATATACCCAAAAAAAATTTATTATTTTGTTTAGAATATAACAACTTTATTTCAAATTCAATGCAACATAACTTGAAACCACAATTGCATATTAGAAACAATAGAAAGAAATCAACAAAATCAAATCTTAAAGATTACAATTCACTATAAAGTCTTAGCATCCAACATAGCCAACTACAAAGACATACATAAAAATCAAGTCTTAAAGATTACAGTCCACAATAAAATCTTAGCATCCAACATAACCAACTACAAAAATTTCATAATTTAATCCAAAGAATAAATAAATTTCTCAATACATTTCCTCTTCAAACTTGCATTCTTCGCCTTGAAAATCTGCAGTTGAACTTCATTTTGTCACCAGGAATTCAAATACTATACATAGGTCATCCTCATGAAAGTCATTACCTATTTTCATTACATCCCAAAACAATTGATTTTCATCAATATCGGTATTCAATGACTTAATTGTCGTGGCAATGTTACCGAGTTGTTCAGTCATTTCATCCACCTTCAAGTCAACTGATTGCCATGACAATTAAGTCATTGAATACCGGTATTGATGAAAATCAATTGTTTCATGATATGATGAAAATAGGTGATGGCTTTCATGAGGATGACCTATGTAAAGTATTTGAATTCCTTATGACAAATGTAGTTCAAGCGCGGATTTTCAAAGCGAAAAATGCAAGTTTGAAAAAAAAATGGATTGAAAAATTTATTTCTTCTTTGGATTAAATTATGAATGCATTTGTAGTTGGTTATCTTGGATACTAAGACTTTATTGTGGATTGTAATCTATAAGACTTGATTTTTACATATGCCTTTGTAGTTGGTTAATGGTTATGTTGGATGCTAAGACTTTATGGGGCGTTTGGTTGGGAGGAAGAAATTAGAAGGAAAGGAATTACAATTCGATAGGGATTATTAGAATTATTGGGAATGAGAAGGAAAAAAAAGTGATATAAAGACTAAAATGTCATTGTGTAATAATAATTGTAACAATCACCAAAGATACTTTTGTCATTTCTTCTATTTTTTCCTTTCCCACAAACATTGAATTGCAATTCGGTAGAATTGCAATTTCCTTCAACCAAACAATGTAATGAGGCCTTTATTGAATTACAATTCAATTACAACTCAATTACATTCAACCAAACACCATGGACTGTATCTTAAGACTTGATTTTGTTGATTTCTTTTTGGTGTTTCTCATATGTAATGGTGGTTTCAAGTTATGTTGCATGAAATTTGAAATAAAAATTGTTATGTTCTAAACAAAATAATAAAAATATTTTTTGAGTATATAACATTGTTGAAGTATACAATTTTTCATGCTCATTTTCTGAAAAATGATCAAAAAAAAAAAAAAAAACATTCTGAAGAATGACGCATTTTCATAAAAGGTTTTCCAAAAATCATTTTCCACCTTTCCAAATCAACCCTTAGTCCCCTTAAAAATGTATTTACATTTTTACCCTCAGTGATTTTTGTCCTCTGAAATGTATACAAGTAAAATAGAAAACCGGGGACTTGGAATTTGGAAAACAGGTTGAACAACCTTAAACTAACCCACTGAGACAAAACATCAAACAAGTCATATGCATTACTACGCGTACCTGTTGGGTTATAGTGCTGCCACCACCGCGAGCCGAGAACGACAAAACTGCGCGAGCCACGCCAATAGGGTCGACGCCAAAATGTCTAAAGAAGCGCCGGTCCTCATATGCGACGACGGCCCGCACCAAATCCCGTGGGCAATGGACCATCACCTCGGAATGGGCTCGTTCGGAGAAGGCAATGAGCTGAGCCCATCTGTCGGGAAAGTCAGGGAGGAGGACGCCAGAGACGAGGCGGAGAGAAAGAAGGGCGAAGGAGAAAGCGAGAAGAATGAGAGTGGCGAGAGACGAATGGGTTTTGCGAGAAATGGTGTGGTCGTGGGAGGCGGAGGGGCGGTGGGAGAAGTGAAGCTGAAAATGTGGAGCTTTGGGAGGGTAATGAGTCGCTGAAGAAGGCAATATGGTGATTGTAGTGAAGGATGCACGAAGGATCGGTGGTGGCGCCACCAGATTGCGGTTCAGTAGGGTTTGACCAAAGGGGAAAGCGAAAGACGCCATCAGAGGACAGCAGATCCAATCAGGACAACTCGGTTTGCTACATCAAACATGTAGAGACTGACTCCTAGGCTTCTTGCTAAAATTTAGGGGGTGTTTGGTTAAGTTATACGGAGTATAAGTATAAAATAACAAACATTATATTTAATTGGGAATATAATCATATTTGGTTGAACTTATGTAATTTATTTTAGAAATTATAACTCATACGTAAAGTTTTTTTTTTTTTAGCTATTGAAAGAGAATGTGACATGTTTCTTCTTTTTATTATTTGAGATGGGAATAAGGTTCAAATTGACCACTGAACGTAACCTAAAAATGCAATTAGGCCACTAAATAAAGAAAAAAAAATGCAATTAGGTCATAAACACTCCAAAAAGTGCAATTAGGCCACTGAACACTTCAAATATATGCAATTTCACCGGATAGCAGGTTACCTGCTTACGTGGCAGTTGAGTTTGCATTTTTAATAATTTTTAAATAATTTTAATAATACATTTTTAAAAATTACAAAAAAAATAAAACAACGAGGTGGCTGCCCGGCCACCCGTCCTTTTTTTATTTTAATTTATTATTAAAACTTATTAAAAATTATTTAAAAATGCCAACTCAGCTGCCACGTAAGCATGTAACCTGCTAAAATTGATGGTAACCTGCTATCAGGTAAAATTGCATACATTTGGAGTGTTCAGTGGGCTAATTGCATTTTTTTCGTTCAAGGGCCTAATTGCATTTACAGGTTATGTTCAGTGGCCAATTTGAACCTTATTTCTTTCAAATATTTTCACATTCTCTTGTCTTATTGCTAATTTTGTCATTTTAATTCATTAATTTTTCTCTCCCCTCAAGACATATAATCCTTTATATAATAAAGCTATATGGTTTGGGAAATAATTAATGCTACAATTAATGCCACAACATCTTTTATTATAAAAAAAAAAAACACAACATTTAAAAAATAAAATAACTATATATTATATAATCATATAAAAAATATACTTTTGAAAAATAAAATAGCTATATATTATATAATCATATAAAAAATGTGTTCAATTAGAGTTTAAATTTACACATACAAAATTTAAAATTTGCTTTCCAAATGTAATTATCTTAGTTATTATTCGTATTGTGAAAATTATAATATAAATGAAATACAATTAAGAATAAATCAATGTAATTATGTAAATTCTCTTTATAAGTTTATTTGAATATGCACATAATTAGAGATTAGAGAAAATTACACTTTTGGTCCTATGACTATAGCGGAGGTGGTAATTTCAGTTCGTGACTTTTAAAACTAACAGATTTAGTCCTTTTAGTAAGCTTTTTTTGACACATTGAGTCCTTCCGGCTAATTTGCCGGTAGAATGCCGCCGGAATTGCGATTGGAGTTGTTTATTAATTGTTTGGGAGGGGTAAAATCGTCCGTTCAGGCCATAGAAAAGGGGGTAAAACGGATTCCCATTTCCCACCTTAATCAACCTCCACGCAGAAGGGTTTTCAGTTCCATTCTCCATTCTCACGCGAAGCGAAGGAAGCAAGAGACGAAGTGGAAGAGAAGAAATCAGTCGCACCACTCGCACGCTCCATTCTCCATCAGGTCGTCTTGGGTATGGCTAATTCGTATTCTTCTTGTTCTTCTAATTCTGCTACTGAGTACTATGAATTTGGGGAAAGGTTTCCAATTATCATTGTAGATGTGGTGAACAATTGAAAATTCGAACTTCATGGACAAATGAAAATCCCGGTCGTAGATTTTGGCAATGCTCCGGTGCTATTGTAAGTTTTGGTTTTTACAGGTTTTTGTAATTTTTGTACTGGATGTATGAATGAAATTGAATAAATGTTCTTTGAATTAATCCAGGGTAATGTGGGCTGTGGATTTATTGATTGGTATGATCCTCCAATGTGCCATCGTTCAAAGAAAATAATTCCGGGATTGCTAAGACGCATCAACCGACAAGAGGAAGAGATACAGAAATTAAATATGATGCGTAAAGGTAATAAAGATGATGGGAAAGTGGTTGGTAGTTCTAAGTGGATGAACAAGTTTGTAGCAGTTTTTGTTGTAATAGTTGCACTAATTATTGGTTGTAGGTTTTGCTAGTGAACTGATCCAAAAAAGTGTTCAGTATTTGTAATGTGTTTTGGTAATTTTAGAATTGTGGAATGGTTGGTGATGTAAGGATCTTGGTGATGTAAGGATCATGGTAATGTAAGATGTATGGTATGTTGTGTTAATGTAAGATTTATGGTTTGGTTACTTAATGTAAGAATTATGGTTGGTTTTGTTAATGTAAGGATGATGGTTTCTTTTGTTAATTTAGGATGATGGTTTGTTTTGGTTTACAATTCAGCAATGTGTGACTCTTTTAGCAACACTGTAAAAGCCCATGATTTAACATATGACCAAAACACTGCATACCATAATCTCATAGTTATCATACATTATGACCAAAACAAGCTGCTATCTAAAGAGTTTGTAATCATTTAGCAGCCAAATCAGTTACCAAAACATACACACAAACTAACTTCATCAAAACATACATACAAACTAACTTCACATGCATTCACTAAATGTCAATTGGGTCATCATGGTTGCCAAAGAACTTGGACTTGAACACAGTCTTGCTCCTTGTATAGTATGGCTTTTTCCTGTTTGATTGCTTCACTTTGGTTCCCTTCTTGGATTTGCCTAGCTGTTGGTTCATCTTAGGTTCTCCTGATCCACTCTGTTCCCCTTGTCCTTGCTGGGCATCAACCTCATGCTGCCCTAATCCACTCTGTTCCCCTTCCCCTTGTCTAGTCTGTTCCCCTTGTCCTTGCTGGGCATCAACCTCATGCTGCCCTAATCCACTCTGTTCCCCTTCCCCTTGTCCAGTCTGTTCCCCTTCTCCACTCTGTTCCTCACTCTGGTGCTCTCTTGTAGGCATATTGATGGGGATTTGGTGAGTGGCATAAATGACCCTCTTTTTTGGCTTCAACTGAAATACATAGAGTTTAGGTTACAATTGTTTTATACACAGTATATTGTAATCCAACAGAATTTAGTACTACACCTTTTTATTAGGATTAGATGGACACTTCCTAGCATTATGTCCAGGTTCCCTACACACAGAACAATGCAGTTGAATGTGGTTTCTTGACACTCTATTTCCATCTTGGGTTAACTCAGCAGCTGATCTTGTCCTTAACTTTTTGGGCCTCCCAACCTGAAAAGCACCAACAATTTAAATCAGTTTTTATACAGCAGAGAGTTAAAGGATAAGGGTCAGCAATCAAGCAATCACCTTGGCATTATACAAGGGTGGCAATGGGGGTGGTCTATCACACCTAGGCCACTCAGCAGGACCTGCCATTGGGTTGATACATGCACTGTATATCTTCAGATATGCTTCTTTTGAGTAGCATGGATGGACAAAGTCAAACACTCCACCTTTCCCAAATTTTTTCCATATAGCACATATAGCATGCTTGCATGGAATGCCTGTCAACTCCCACCTCCTACAAGAACATTGTTTTCTTTCAAGGTCTACTTGTTGTTGATCCCCATATAAGTGTCTAACCTCAAACTTGAAGAAATCACATTGTGTTGCTAAGTAACCAGATGCAGCCTTCTCTATTTGCTTCAACTTCCTGACAACCTTAGGACATATCAAGGACTTCCATTCTGCAGCTTTCTGTCTATTCTCAAACAACTTAGCCATTATCATTTTCCTTATAATTTCTAGGCACTCAATGATAGGCTTGTCCCTTGCTTCCATTATAGAGGCATTCCAAGACTCACAAATGTTATTCACTAACATGTCGCAATGGGATTTTGTAGAGAAGTGGGATCTAGACCATTCTGTTGGGCTTTTATCACCTAACCATTGGTATGCAGCTTCATCTAATCTCCTTAGTTTATACAAAGCATCAGTGTAAGCATTTACAGTGTTTGCCCTAGCACAAGTCCATAATGTATCCTTAATAGCCTTACCCTGGAAACCTGCCACCTTCATATTTGCATGTAGGTGTCTCACACAAAATCTGTTTTCCACACCAGGTAGCACTTCACCAAAGGCTGGAATTAGACCCTTCTGTTTGTCACTTATGAAGCAGTACTCATCCTCCTCTGTATCACTTATCTGCATATCATCTTTCAACAGTCTTAGAAACCATATCCAAGATTCCTTTTTCTCTCCTTCCACAATAGCATAAGCTAATGGAAATATACAGTCATTTGCATCTATACTCACAGCAGTCAGAAGCATTCCTCCAGTTTCAGATTTAAGGTGACAACCATCTACCCCAATTAGTCTTCTACACATCCTGAAGCCTTCCTTGCTGCTTTTCCAACAGACATACATTCTCAGGAATCTTTCCTGCCCACTTCCATCCTTTAAGTCACTCAACTTAACAAGACATGAAGACCCGGGATTTGTTGTCAAGACTTCTTCTCTATAACTCCAAATCTTCTTGAAGTTGGCTTCCTCATCACCTACTCTTATCTTCTTTGCCTTCCAAATATCCCTATATGCTTGTGAATCACTCACATAAAATCCCTCCTCTGTGCAAACCTTATCTTTGAACTTTCTCATCATCCAATCTGGGTGATCTTTTAATTGAGTTGCCCACCTCTTAGCAACCACAGTTGATTTCACCAGTGAGTTCTCCCAAACCCAAGAACAACCTTCATGTTCATCCACCATGTTCAAAATCCTCCATGCATATGACCCTATTACTTTCCTCAACCCTATTCTCCAAGGGCAACCCTCCTGTGTACACTTAACAATAACCCTTTCCTTGTCATTTTTTAGAGTTCTAATTTCTTTGCCATTATTGAAAGCATAATTTTGAACTGCTTCCCTAAACTGTTGTTTTGAAGCAAATGTCATGCCTAAAGTGAAATGGGGGTCTTTCATGTCTGTTGCAGCTCTAAATATGGGCCATTTGCTTTCCCCATCACCATCACTATTAGAATCCACTACTGACTCCTCATCAGAAAAGAAGATGTCATCCAAATTCTTAACCTTTTTCTTTGTTTGAGCTACATCCAAATGCTCATCTACTTTATCATCCTGTACAGTGAAATCAACAACTTGGCCATCATCCCCAGTCCCTATATCAACCTGCTCAGCTACCCCCAATCTCTGTACCTCAATCTCATTTTCCCAATCACTTTCTGGCTCCAGTACTTCCATATCAGCTTCAATCAAGTCCTGCTCATCCATTGTTTCAACCCAAAACTCCAACCTTTTACTTGGGTTGACCTCATTCAATATAGGTATAAGATCATTGTCTGATTGTAGCAACTTCAAACTATCATTCCAATAACAATAAATCAGGGCACCAACCTCACTATACCCTAACTGTTTTATCTTATCCTTCAACACATCTAGACACACTTCATTAGCTTCCATCCTTTCATACAGTTCTACATCACCACCCAAGTATTTAACTTCACCAACCCTATTTACTATCCCATTATGGAAAAGGACAACTTCAAATGGGCCAACACCAGCTCCTGTAAAGCCAACAGTCAACAGAGTATATGCACAAAAAGTTTAAACATAATGGTCCCCACAGAATAACAACAATGTTTCCTAAACCCTATATATGCACATGACAAGAATCAGTAAGTACAACAGTAGTATTGGTCCCCACATACCACTACAACACTTTCCCATACTCATCAGAATTCATACTAACAATAATAAACAACATACCACTACAGAAAATGGTCCCCACATTACAAGACACAAGACACGAGTACAATCTCCTTTATGCTTTATGCATATATAACCCACACGGCAAACCCTACAAATGCTTAACTTCCATACAACTCCACAAAAAACACTCCACACAAACAACACAAACTCATTCACTATAAAATTCATACAATTCAAACAGTTACAAATTATTCAAACTTACTTCGTTGGAGCGTATTTGGGGCAGAACCCGTTCCAGTCGCCAATGATTTACGCATTGCAGTAGGCGAAGTGAAGAGTTCTCTTTGTTCCCGCTTTCTTCCTTCTTCCACACTGTCTTCGCGCTTCTCTGTTGTCTTCCCGCTACTTTCACATAAAATTAGGGTTGCGTGGAGGTTGATTAAGGTGGGATTTACCCCCCTTTTCTATGGCCTGAACGGACGATTTTACCCCTCCCACACAATTAATAAACAACTCCAATCGTAATTCCGGCGGCTTTCTACCGGCAAATTAGCCGAAAGGACTCAATGTGTCAAAAAAAAGCTTACTAAAAGGACTAAATCTGTTAGTTTTAAAAGTCACGAACTGAAATTACCACCTCCACTATAGTCATAGGACCAAAAGTGTAATTTTCTCTTAGAGATTATATTAACCATACAAAATTATAATTTTAATTTTAATTGTAATTTTGTATTCTATAAAAATAATAAATACTTGACCAGTGGAAGTTCAAAAATATTATTATATTAAATAATTTAAAATATTTTAATTTTTCTATTTTTTATTTATATTTATAATAACATAATTTTTTCCCGTGCATCGCGTGGGTGAATTACTAGTGTTTATAAAGTTCAAACTCTTAGTTAATTAATTTTAAATCATTTACTTCTATATTTTACCGTATTTATTTATTTTAATTTTTGAAATTTATTAAAATGATATTAAAGTAAACTAATCATTATAACATAAAATAAAATAAAAAAAAAATTAGCACTTCAACCAAATAGATACCTCAATTTTAAACCAAATACAGAAATCTAACATTCTCAGTAATATTACATTCCCAATCATCTCACATTCGCTAAGGTAATCTAACATTTTTAACAATTTTATAAGGGTCTTGTTTGAAAACTCAAAAAATAAAAACGCTCAATTTGAGACATCTTCACTTTATGCATAATCTCTATAATATTGATTTCGAATTCTGAACATTGATCTCTTCTCATAAATACTACTTACTGAACCAGTTAGTTAATCATATGCGGACTAATATTATATTGGTCTTGTTTGGTAAAATAGTTAGTCTATCAACCAATTTTGACTTATGACCACTATTAAATGTTTGACTTGGTTAAACAATCAATATGAGTGTTTGATTAATTAGTTTTTTTATAACAACTTATTGCTCCAAAATGTTAAAATTCAAAAAGTTGTTCAAAGTAGTTTTTATGATTAGCTTTTTGAGAAAGTCATTTTGCATGTAACCCACTAACACAATCAGCTAACAACTTTTTACCAACCACCCATTATCTATTTCAACTAAAACATCTAATATATATATATACACGCACACACACATCGCTCCCACTGTGGAGTTAGGATAGTGGTGGTAACTGACCACTGTGGATCCACCCATAATTACTAATCATTTATAATACAAAATTATGAATATATTGAAAAAATGTAATGCTTAATATTTATGATTGAAGATTTGCTTATGGGAGAAATTATAATACTTATAAAAAATATCTATCTCACAAATAAGAATGCATAAGATGATTAGAAATTTCTCTTCAAAAAAAAAAATAATAATAAGAGATTTTGTTATTTATTTTAATTTTTAAATGAACAGAGTATACATTTCACATATTCGTGAGTAATTGACAAAATCTTAAAAGAATTATGAAAAATTAACCGAAATAACGCCACTGTTAAGCAGAAGTAATGCTCAAAAGAGACAAAATAATAATATATCTACTAATAAATCTAATACAGATTTCAGACGTCGTGTTGCTGTGGTGTAGTGGTTATCACGTCAGTCTTACACACTGAAGGTCCCCAGTTCGATCCTGGGCAGCAACATTTTATAATTCTATTGTAAAAGGGCCAAATGCTATTATCATATAATACCTTGAGAATCAAACAATTTAACGTTGTGCGTTGCTGTGGTGTAGTGGTTATCACGTCAGTCTTACACACTGAAGGTCCCCAGTTCAATCCTGGGCAGCAACATCTTACAACCCAAACATGCTGTTGCAATTTGCTTATTAAGCAACAAACTGTATTAAATTTTTCCTGTTTGATATTTCATTTGCAAAATATATATTTTCTAAACTTATTTTTTAATTGTGGTATATTGTCCCTATTTTCTCTACACAAACTTGTTAAAATTAAGTTTTTCTATTCTACAAGTAAAATATCAAGACTAAAAAGTACTATTTATTTATACTTACACTTTTAAATTTGTGCTTTTATATTGTAGTGTTGTTATTGTATTGTTTTTGTATTTTTTTTTATAGATTTATTATTATAGGTATTGATATAATTGGTAATGTTAATTTTTATTTATAATTTGAATGATTTAAAAATGTAGCTTAACAAACTTCGGTTAATTGGTTAACCGAATAAAAAAATCGATTTGGTTAATTCGGTAATAAAAAGTTCGGTTCAATTAAATGTTGTGTGTTGTTGTGGTGTAGTGGTTATCACGTCAGTCTTACACACTAAAGGTCCTCAGTTCAATCCTGGGTAACAACATTTAACAATTCTATGGTAAAAAGGCCAATGTTATAGTTGGAAAGTACAAATAAGCCAACTCAATATGTTGTTATAACTTTAAGTTTTTACTTGATTATCAAATGTTTATTTTATGTACGTTTTTTTAAATTATAATCCACCTACATAGTAATATATTTTAAAGTAATTATAATCAAAATAATTTTGTCTTGTCTAGATATAATTTATTTATTTCTTATTATTTTTTAAACAGAAGATCCAATGAAAAAATAATAATAAATAAATCAAATCTCGACAAGACAAAACTATTTTGAGTATGATTAATTTAAAATATATTACTATGTAGGTGGATTATAATAATAATAAAAAACGTAAATAAAATAAATATTTGGCAATCCAATCAGCAAAAATATGGAGTTAACTTGTTAAAAATGTTAATTGCTATTTTTTCCGGGTTCAATGACTTATTTGCTATTTTTTTTCGAGTTCATTAGCTTATTTGGGAGTTATTTGAATTCGGTGGCTTAATTGTCATTTCTCAAATAGTTCAGTGACTTATTTGTACTTTATCCCTTTTAATATCTTGAGCAACAAACTTTATTACAATTTTACCTGTTTGATATTTCATTTGCAACTTTTCTAAACTTATTTTTTAATTGTGGTATATTGCCTCAATTTTCTCTACACAAACTTGTTAAAATTAAGTTTTTTTTATTCTACAAGTAAAATATCAAGACTAAAAAGTACTATTTATTTATACTTACACTTTTAAATTTGTGCTTTTATATTGTAGTGTTGTTATTGTATTATTTTTGTATATTTTTTAATAGATTCATTATTATATATAGGTATTGATATAATTGGTAATGTTAATTTTTATTTATAATTTTAAGGATTAAAAAAATGTAGTTTAAAAAACTTTGGTTAATTGGTTAACTGAAAAAAAAAAATCGATTTGGTTAATTCGGTAATAAAATGTTCGGTTCAGTTAACGGTTAGAGCTTTAAAATTTTTTATTAATTCGGTTCGGTTAAAACGATTTCATCTCCTAATATAAATACTTTTAACATTACATTACCAATTCATTACATCAATTTAGAATTCTTCTTACATCACATATTAGAATTTCCTTGTAATCTCTCTTTCTATCTATTGATAAAATTATAGTTCAATCCATACTTTTTCCCATAATAACAATGTCTACTTTAAAAGAATTTTTTTTCCTCTCGCTCTCTTCACGAGTTTCTCATATTGCTCAACTTCATAATATATTTTGAGATTCAATTCTTATTCATATGTTATTTGTTTTGAATATATAAATATACAAAAATCCATATCCTCAACTAGAAGAACCTAAACCCAATTCACATGCTAAATGCGCTATTATCTTGAGTGATTTATTTGACTTTTTTTTCCAAATTTTATTACTCAAGTTTATAATCATCCGTATTCCGTTTTCCACTTTTCCCTCTAAAAACATATGGTAAATAATTAGGAGTTCATTAAAAAGAAGAAGATTTCAGTTAGCATATTTGCACTCTTTTTAATACAAAAATTATTTCAATAAAGAACCAAACATGTATAAATTTTGCACAACCAAAAATATAACATTCTAACAATATCAGATCAACCAAATAAACATATTATTTAAAAATTAGTAATAAAAATATTAATATTTCAAAAAAAAAAAAATAGTAATAGCCTATTCGTTGATTCTATCCATGAAAAGATCTAACAGTAACAACTCATTTGGTTTGTGAAAAAAATATAAAAAAGAATTGAATTTAAATTCATTATAAAATAAATTATTTGGAATAGTGATTTCATTATTTGATTGGTTGGAAATAAGTTGTTAGAAATAATTACTATAAGTATTCAAAAACCCCTATATAATAAAGATATGTTAAGTTTTTTTTTTTTTTTTTTTTTAGTGACGAGAAAAATTTGTAGTCACTATTTGAGATATACACCGTATAAATTCTAGTGGTTCAAATCAAGAAGGTCAATAGTCATAACGAGTGTGAAGTGTCAACTGCTAATCATGAATGGTTTGACAACTAACAAAGGAAACTAACCACTGCCCGAGAATGATGCTTGGTCTTTATTGTCCTTGGGACATTCCAAAGTTCTTCTCCCAAAAAGTTGAATCCCCAACTCTAAATTAAAGAGCCTCACACTCTGGCCCAACAGGGCATTTAAGAGGATATAAATCACGGTAATACAATGATTTAGCAGACATGGTCAGATGCCGGTGCGCACAATGAATCTACCAACTTTGGACATAAATCCCACACTGTCAATGCTGAGGTTTAAATTAAACATTGACCTCTTCTCCCAAATACTACATACTGAACCATTAAGTTAAACCTAGATGTATGTCTACCTCTGCAACTTAAATAAGGTATGAATAGGACTTTAAGTAAATTATTTTGGGAAAATCAATGTTTTGGTCTTTTTTTTTATACTATTGACTCTATTACAAAGTAGTATATGTTCTATACTTTTTCTAACTACTGCAACCCAAAGAGTCAATACCTAACCA